ATGAATTCTGATTTCCTTTCATTGAAAAAAAAGTGGTTTCATCATGATAAGATTTTATATTAGTGTCATCTTTAGTCTTTATATAGTAATCGAATAAAACTTTTCTCAAAAGTCATGAAAAAAAGAAACGAATCAATTTATAGCAAAACCCTGTATTATTAGAATACGATATATGTGAAATGGATGTGTTCTGTTTATTTTGCATTGTAGTGTGGCACATTCTTTAATTTTTCTTCTGTCAGGAATTTTTAACAAATTGTTATACAATTAAAAATTTTTTTTTATTAGGCATGTTTAAGATGTAACATAAATTGTTGACAGGAAATTGTAGATTTTTTTCTTTTAATGCACACCAGTAGTAATAACTGTTTCCCTGGGTATCGGCGTGTTGTTGATTATGATACATATCGTTTTAAAAATCAGACTACAATACGAGTACAGGTTACAAAATATGAGACTTGATATTTAATAATAGTGAAAATTACATAGAGTTTCACGTAAAAAACTGTTTTGATGAATGAAAATGATAATAAAATATCAACGTAAAATCACATGTAATCTAAAAGATATAAATGTTCCTCAAAACATTAAATCCTTAAAGATTGAATCGCCAATTTTTATAATCGAATTTATGCAGATAAAATTGGCCAAATGCGAAAGGTAATAGGAAAAATAATCTAGGAATGTCTAGCTGCCTATTTCATATTGTTATATACTTTCTTTTAACATGTTCAAAATCTTGAATCTATCGTAAAACAATATCAACTCCATTACTTATGCTGCTTATCTTGGCATGCACTCATATATGTCCTTGTTTCTGTCTAGGATCATAACAATACATATTTCCAAAATGATTATCATTTTGAAAGAAAATCGAATTTACAGATTTAAATTATTTATATTTCCTAAACAGTAAACTGAAATAGTAAAAAATAATCTATTATCTTTAATTTACTTAAAAAAAAATTGCTAATGCTAATATGTATAATATAATAAATCTCATTGTTTATAAATTTCTAAAAATCGTAAAGTTATATACAATAATTATATTATCCATTATGTACTTGACAAAGTATTAATAGAAACTTATGTACAATGGTTACCTATTGACCACTTCCTGAACTGTTTTGGGGTAATTTTGCAGTTGATTGGCTCAATTGAGCCAATGTTTCTGGAGTCGCATGTGCTTTTAGGATTGAATTTTCAGCTTCCAATTGATTGATACGATCCATAAGCTCTGCTATTTTCTCCTTGAGTACTTCAACCTCTTCTCGTACAGCAAACATCAAATGACTCTTAACAAGATCCTATAAAAAGATTCTTTGTTAATTTCCATATCATTGCTCCTTATCTTTATCTGGTAATTACTCGTACTAAAGAACACTTACCATGGCTTGCTCAATCTTATTATCAATTGCTACAGCACTAGTCCCCGACATACTGTAATAAAAATTACAGGCAAAAATTGATTTACAGAATATATGCAGATGTAGTAATTAATTTTAGAATCTTGTTAAACACTATTTTGTGTTTCTAAAAGGACTAGTTTCCATTAACCAGTCTCTTAGGTAATGATATACCAAGAATCTTATTATTCTCAATATTTTCATGAAAATTTAAGTTTCAGTAATTCAAGTTCATTCAATGTACCTTTCATTATCTTCGAGGGTATGATGTTCATCGCTGCCTTGAGTAACTTCAGTTAGTGATTCTAAGAGAGTAGTATCAGCTGATTGAGTAGTGGAACCAGCTACAATGCCTGAAATGGAGTCCTGCTCCGGATCTGGTTGATGAAATGTTATGTTTCCCTGTTGCATACCACCTACAACATTTTGGCAGCTAGCTGATACCTGTGCCATTTGCACTTGAGCATTGCTACCAGAAGTTGGGGGTTGCATTTGAGATGGTGGTATGACTTGAGATTGTACTGGTGCTCCAGGAGCATGAATAGTTGAAGAAGTTTGCTGTGCACCTGTTTGAGGAACTTTGTGAATATTCTGGATGCCCTGCATTCCTGGTATGGCAGTCAATGGCTCAGACATTTGAGTCATTGATTTCTGAGTTTGCAATGGTTGCTGAGGTTGTTGTTGTTGCTGCTGCTGCTGCTGCTGTGGTTGTTGCTGTGGTGGTTGCTGCTGTTGAGTTGGAGGATGTTGCTGTTGCTGCTGTTGGGGAGCATGTTGTTGCGTAACAAGAATGTTAGGTGCCTGGGATGCTGGTACAGGTGTTTGCTGTACAGATGGTTGACAAACATTTTGAACTGGTAATGACTGATTTTGTGTGCTCACTGTCACATATGTATCTTCTTTTGAATGAGGTATATTTTGTTGGGGTGTCACATTGCTACTACCAGTCTGTGTTATAATGGGAATAGAACCTTGGGGCATACTTTGAGGTTGAGTCAAGTTGTTTGGGTGAGTAGGTTGCAGATTAGATGGTAATGTGGAACCTTGTCCACCTTGCTGTTGCTGCTGCTGTTGAGATGCCAATTGTTGAGCAGAAGATTGAAAGTACTGAGGAATTTGTGAAGGTGTCTGAACTTTAGTCTGTGTTTGAACTTGGGTTGGATTATGCTGTGCATTGGGAGGAATTGAATTGCTTACTGCATAATTAGTACTTGAAACCGGTGTAGAATTATTAGGTACACCAATTGATGTATGCACATCTGGATGTGTAGGTACTTGTCCATTAGCATCAATGCTCATACCTTTGTCTTCCGATACAACTGATTGTTTAGATGCATCTGGTATAACAATTCCGCTGTCTGTCACCCCATATGATATGCATACCTCATTTGGATCAGACATTTTTGGTGTACCAATTGCTGTAGGTTGATTGACCGATGTATGATCCAAATAATCCATGCAAGTCCATCTGCCCCTCTTGAAAGGTTCAGTACTTTCAATTTTAACCACTTTGAATCTCTCATTTCTACCATGCGAATGTACTTCACGTAGGTCTGCATCTTGCTTTGCATTACTCGAAAGTAAATTAATAATATTGTTGTCGGTAACAGATGTAATGTCCAAAGTATTGATATTGCTGTCATTTACAGAGTTGCTGACATTATTCCCTTCAGAGGGCACAATTGCCAAACCATATTGAGAACTTGTAGGAATCACCGGAGCAGTGCTGAGGGCAGCATTACTGGTATTAAAAAATACATCCTCCTTAGAGAAGGTATCTTCAGAATAGCTGGGCGTTTCAATATCGATGTCAGTAATACGCGAATGCTCAACCGAATTGTCTTCCGTGTGAGACTCATCCAGATCATCGTTCGAATCCTCACCGGCATCATTGCTCATACGAGAACCAACGGTAACGCTTGTAATCTGGAAGGACGATGTCTTTTTTCGACACTGGTTACTAGCCGTCACGTTGCTTGAAGTGGTCAAACTAACCGGCTGGTACAGTTTCTCTGGCTCTCCTAACCGAATCGTCTCGGTGGTCGTACGGTGCACTGGATTAGATGTTTTTCTACTACCATCCGATAGCTTATGTGATTTTCTGTGTACATTATCTGCCATTATTATAGGAACTTAGCATTCGAGAGCCACGATCTTTGCATTCGTTGTTCTCTTGCATGTTAAAACCGACATCGCTCTTAGCCGGGGGCCTTTCGGCTTCGAACTATTTGTCCCTATCACAATTTACACGGTTACCCTTCAAATGAAGTGATCCTTACTCTTCACGTGAATTCGAATTAAATTCATATTCTCATCTTGCAGAGGTGTTGACAGTTCACCATTTCGTCAATTTCACGGGGAAGTAGTGCATTCGCTCGAGCACCGTCCACTCGAAACAAATATCTACACTTCACCAATGCGGAATTTGTCTTTTCGTTCTTCACAGCCGATCACGCTACATTTAATCCCACGCGTTCACATATTACTATCTCGCGATCCGATTTCTCATTATTCATATCCTTTCTCTACTCTATTATACTAAGTAAGCAGTTTAAAAATGGCTGCCAATTTACTCGCGGAATTGCCACGAATTATATCTAGAACATCTATGTGTGACTTCACAACTAAAAATCTATTTTCATCCGCGATGTAGGTGTCTCACGAGAAATAAGCATAGTTATTCTCCTTTGACCCTTATCCATGAGAATACGCCGATAGAAAGTGCAGAGCTATTACTTCTTCATACCGCGACGCTCACTATCATTTGCCGTTTGAACATTAAATAAATTTTTAACTTCATATTTAAGAAGTCATTCTCTATAATGTTTTTTATTTTAAAAAGTTGTCATCTCATTAAGAAAATTAAAAATAAAATTTTATCGAAATTTACATACTGAATATTGAAATTTCATTCAAATTATTTAATTTTATATTGTTTTCATCGTATAATATCATAGTGATACATACATTTTATTTTTAACACAATATAATAATCTTCGTTATTCGCATTATCCGCTTTTAAATGTCATTGACATACAGTAGTCGATGTACATGAAAGAGGACCTTTAATTTTGTAAAAATGAAGCTTAAAAGAGACGAGAAAATCAACAAGTTTCATAGTACTGTATGTATGTGCTAAAGATGATTGAAATCAAACTTATTTTATAACTTATAAAATTTATTAAAGGATCAACAATTCGATTAATCGATAAAACTTCTCCAAAGCGTAAATTTTTAACTGATACGACAAATCTGCACAATTTCTCAAAAAGTAAAAATAATAATCATGCTGAACACAATAAAAACATGCTTGAAGAATAACGTTCAAAAACAGAATAGAATAATACAATTGAATAAAACTGAAAATAAAAAGCCAATTTTAAAAACTTTGCCAGGTAAAGAAATAGTAATACTAAAGATTTAAATAAAATTAAAGCATACATTTTTAAAAACATTACAAGTATTTATTAGAGAAAAGGTATTACGTTGTTTCTTCTTTTACATTAATTTATGATATGTGTATAGTTTTCCAGTATCCTATAAGTAATGAAAGAGATCACAGAGTATATGTATGGGGTATAGCAGATCATGGTGCTCTTGGAACATTGAAATCAACTGCATACCTAGATGGTATTTCATTTATTCCAAGGCCTAAAAGGTTAGCTTTTGGAGAAAAACATGATGTGACAGATATAGCTTGTGGTTATGGTTTTACTGCTTTTGCTATAAGATCCAAAGATAAAAATATTCTATATGGAAGTGGAATAAATACAGATTCTCAGCTTGGTAAAAAGAAATTATTTTTTAGTTTTTAAATTGTTTTGTGACTCTCATATTTATATTCAACATTTAATGCATCAATAGGTTTTGGTGAAGAAGATAAGAAATTTACCAATGGCTTAATAATTGAACCAAGACCTATAAATTTACCTATTAAAGACTTTTCTACAAAAGTCATTGGTATAGCAGCTGGAAGAGCACACTTATTGGTATTAACAAATGAAGGATTATTCACATTAGGGAATAATGCATATGGACAATGTGGTCGTCCTATAATATTAAATGAAGATTATAGAAATAGCAGAGTTGTTCATTATATACCTGATGTTAAAGGGAAAAAAATTAAAGCTATAACAGCTGGACAAGATCATAGGTATGAAACATAATAACACAAAATAAATAGCTAATTACAATATTTGAAAATCCTCTCTTATTGCTATATGATAGCATACTCTTGACAGAATCTGGTGAAGTATACACATTTGGCTGGGGAGCAGATGGACAAACAGGATTGGCACATTACAGAAATGAATTTAGACCAAGTTTAGTTAAAGGAGATCTGGCTGGACAGCATATTATTAAAGTTGCAAGCGTTGCAGATTGTGTATTAGCTCTCAGCGGTATCTGCAATATTCATGTATTAATACCACAATAAATTGTATAAATTTATTTTATATTAAATTTGATACTAATGATACAACTTATGATTCTAGATAAAGGAAAAGTATTTGGTTGGGGCAACTCTGAATACGGACAACTACTTGTAGAGGGTGATACTCAACAAATAAATATAGCTACAGAAATAAGTACATTAGAAAAATTGGGTCATATTGAGGACATTGCCTGTGGTGGTTGTTTTTGTATGGTTTTGAACAGTAAGTGTCCATCCATTTTGTTATTTTTATACTATACATTAATAATTTGATATATATATCTACTAGATGCAGGTGACGTTTATGTGTGGGGTTATGGTATTCTTGGTTTTGGTCCTGATGTTAAAAAAGTTTTACAACCAACCATAATTCCATCTGTGCTTTTTGGAAATAATGCATATCAAAAGAATACAAAAGTAAGTTTAATTTAATATTATGATAAAAGTACAGTGTAATTAATTTTTCTTTTTTATAGGTAGTTAAAATATTTTGTGGTTTGAGTCATCTTACAGCTATAACCAATACAGGAGATTTATATACGTGGGGTTGTAACAAATTTGGATCTTTAGGATTAGGAGATTCTAAGGATCAGTACTTTCCACTGAAGGTATAACATAATTAGACCATGTCACTAAGAAATCATAGTATAATTACAAACGATAATTTTTATTACAGGTAAATCTAGGAGGTCAAGTGAAAAAAGTTGCTTGTGGAGTTGATCATACAGTTGCTCTTTGTAAACCTTTTATTTGAAGTATAGTATATTTTTCACGTTACAAATTATACTATTCATAAAAATTAGGTACAAACGTTTCTTTCAATTTGTTACAAAAAATATCATCTATGTAGGTAGTTTATATTTTATTCTATAATGTTCAGGTATTCATGAACATCATGTATTTTAAAATGGATTGTCGTTATTCAAAGATGAACGTGCACGGTACAAAACTATTAACTATGATCTAAACCTTACTTTGAAAAATTGACATCATGATAATTCTGTCATTACATTAGCATAAAATTTATTAATCATTATAAATTAAAGAAAACTAAAACTATTATTAAAATAAAATAATTAAATGCAATCTTTGTTGCACCACTGGTGCATACCAGATTTTCATAGGATATGGTATACTTAATTGAAGTGGGGAATCTGCAAATTCGAGGATCTAAAACCAAACTATTAGTCAGTACCAGTAATATAAATGTTTTTAAAGCAATTTCTATGAAGCACTTACTTGTACACAGCTGTGAGACAGTTGAAGTATTGGCGAATACCGATATATAAAGTGGTGAACAGTTATGAATGAAAGCAGCGTTAGCACAAGAAACTGTAATGCTATGTACATCATTAGTGATTGATGCACATGACTTTGATTGACCTCCTGTCGCGTTAACGTGTAAAACTTCTCGTGAAGAGCACACAGTTAAACTATCTGAAGTGAAGCCTTGAATCTGAACGCATTTAATTTATATTGTAGATTATGTTCAATATATTATAATAATTCTTATAAGAACTTGCCTTTATTGTTGCAGTGTTTTCACCATGAAAGAAGTAATTAGGATGTAATTTATAGAAAGTAACACCTTTTGGTGTAATATAGTCATCAAACGAATTTGATGGTCCACTTGCAATATTATTTGCTCCACATTGTGTATTGATCAAGCGTTTAGGAACTATATTTTGTAATTAGCATCCTTTTAATTCACATATATCAAATTAGAAAATAGTTATATCAATTTTCTTTACCTTGTTTTATTCTCGAAACCATATTCGTTATCGGTGTCAAAGCTTCTTCCGTATTCCCAATACTAATAGAAAATAAATCAGTCGCATGATTTACTACGAAATCAGACCATGTATCTTTCGATCTATATGTTGTGATAAGTAGCGTTGTGTCTGAAGTAAAATTATTTAATAATAAATTAAACGCATATTTATTTAATTTTATGATTCGTTATAATGCAACAAATTGTTACCTGGGATTTGTTCTCGCATTCGTGAGAGAGTTTGCATA